ATCTGGGAAAGGGTCCCAAAAAATGTCTGCAGCATTGAAGGTCCCCAAGAACACAGTGGCCTCCATCATTCTTAAATGGAAGAAGTTTGGAACCACCAAGACTCTTCCTAGAGCTGGCCGCCCAGCCAAACTGAGTAATCGGTGGAGAAGGGCCTTGGTCAGGGAGGTGACCAAGAACCCGATGGTCACTCTGACAGAGCTCCAGAGTTCCTCTGTGGAGATGGGAGTTCCTCTCTGCGACACTCCACCAATCAGGCCTTTATGGTAGAGTGGCCAGACGGAAGCCACTCCTCAGTAAAAGGTACATAACAGCCCACTTGGAATTTGCCAAAAGGCACCTAAAGACTCTCAGACCATGAGAAACAAGATTCTCTGGTCTGATGAAACCAAGATTAAACTCTTTGGCCTGAATGCCAAACGTCACATCTGGAGGAAACCTGGCACCATCCCTACGGTGAAGCATGGTGGTGGCAGAATCATGCTGTGGGGATGTTTTTCAGCAGCAGGGAGACCTTGGGAAAGATGAATGGAGCAAAGTTCAGAGAGATCCTTAGATGAAAACCAGCTCCAGAGCGCTCAGGACCTCAGACTGGGGCGAAGGTTCACCTTCCAACAGGACAACGACCCTAAGTACACAGCCAAGACAACACAGGAGTGGCTTCGGGACAAGTCTCTGAATGTCCTTAAGTGGCCCAGCCAGAGCCTGGACTTGAACCCGATTGAACATCTCTGGAGAGACCTGAAAATAGCTGTGCAGCGACGCTCCCCATCCAACCTGACAGAACTTGAGAGGATCTGCAGAGAAGAATGGGAGAAACTCCACAAATACAGGTGTGCCAAGCTTGTAGCGTCATACCCAAGAAGACAAAAATGTATGCATGCATGACTGTAAGTCGCTTTGGATAAAAGCGTCTGCTAAATGGCATATTATTATATTATTATAAGACTCGAGGCTATAATCACTGCTAAAGGTGCTTTTTTTTGTTTTTTATTTAAAAAAAATTATTTAACCTTTATTTAACCAGATTAAGCCAGTTGAGAACAAGTTCTCATTTACAACTGCGACCTGGCCAAGATAAAGCAAAGCAGTGCGATAAAAACAACAACACAGAGTTACATATGGGGTAAAAAAAAAAAACGTACAGTCAAAAATACCACAGAAAATCTATATACAGTGTGTGCAAATGTAGTAAGTTATGGAGGTAAGGCAATAAATAGGCCATAGTGCAAAATAATTACAATTAGTATTAACACTGGAGCAAAGGACTGAGGAAAGGGTCTGTATACTAAATGTCATATATCAGTACTTACACTACCGTATATATATATATATATATATATACACTACCGTTCATACCGTATATACCGTATATATATATATATATATATATATATATATATATATACACTATCGTTACCGTACTGGTACCGTATATATATATATATATATATACACTACCGTTTCATACCGTATATACCGTATATACCGTATATATATATACACTACCGTTCATACCGTATATACCGTATATATATATATATACACTACCGTTCATACCGTATATACCGTATATATATATACACTATCGTTCATACCGTATATACCGTATATATATATATACACTACCGTTCATACCGTATATACCGTATATATATATACACTATCGTTCATACCGTATATACCGTATATATATATATACACTACCGTTCATACCGTATATACCGTATATATATATACACTACCGTTCATACCGTATATACCGTGTATATATATATATATATATATACACACTACCGTTCATACCGTATATACCGTATATATATATATACACTACCGTTCATACCGTATATACCGTATATATATATATACACTACCGTTCATACCGTATATACCGTATATATATATATATATATATATATATACACTACCGTTCATACCGTATATATATATATATATATACACTACCGTTCATACCGTATATACCGTATATATATATATACACTATCGTTCAAAAGTTTGGGGTCACTTAGAAATGTCATTTTTTTTCAAAAGAAAAGCATATTTTTTGTCCGTTTTAAAAAATAACATCAAATTGATCAGAAATACAGTGTAGACATTGTTAATGTTGTAAATGGCTATTGTAGCTGGAAACGGCTGATTTGTAATGGAATATCTACATAGGCGTACAGAGGCCCATTATCAGCAACCATCAGTCCTGTGTTCCAATGGAACGTTGTGTTTGCTAATTCAAGTTTATCATTTTAAAAAGGCTAATTGATCATTAGAAAACCCATTTGCAATTATGTTAGCCCAGCTGAAAACTACTGTGCTGATTTAAAGAAGCAATAAAACTGGCCTTCTTGAGACTAGTTGAGTATCTGGAGCATCAGCAATTGTGGGTTTTCGATTACAGGCTGGAAATGGCCAGAAACAAATAACCTTTCTTCTAAAACTGTAACCTAACAAAAATGTGGAAAGGTCAAGGGGTCTGAATACTTTCCGAAGGCACTGTACATGGGGTATCGGTACTGAGTCAATGTGTGGGGGTACAGGTTAGTCGAGGTAATTTGTGCATGTAGTTTAGGGGTAAAGTGACTATGCATAGATAATAGACAGCGAGTAGCAGCAGTGTAAAAACAAAGGGGGGGGGGGTGTACAATTTTTTGGGGTTCGGGGGCCCCAATTTTTTTTTTTTTTTTTTTTTTTTTAAAATTTTGGTTTTTTTTTTGCAAAATTTCCCTTTTGGAGGTTTGAAAACTGTTAAGGGGCCTTTTTGGACCTGACTTGGGGCTTGGGAAAATTTTGCCGTGGGGAGCAGAAAAGGGGGAAAAAGTCATGGGCTTGGGTTGGGGTGGAAATCTTTGACAATTTTTAGGGGCCCTTTCCCCTGGGCACCGCCTGGGATTTGAGGTCCTTTTTTATGGCCAAAAACTTTTGGCCCCAATGAGGGAGTGGGGGTGTAGGGGACTACCCTCTTTTAAAGGACCTTTAAAGGTTGGAAATTTTTTGGAAAAAGGGGAGGTTCAAGGGGTGTGCAACCGGGCCCGGATGCTCTCGTGGGTGCAGCTTGTTTTAAACCTTTTTTAGGATTTTGGGGGCCCAGCCAAATCTTTTCAGTCTCCCCCAGGGGGAAAAAAAGGGTTGTGTTTTTCACAACTTTTTGGGTTTGGGGTTTTTACCCGGGTAGTTTTATGGTGGTGTGGGCACCAAAGGGAAATTCAAACCCTCCCCGCCCCCAAAAATTTCATTTTCTTTCTTTTTCCCCTTTATTTTTGGTTTATTCTTTCTGTCCCTTTGTTTTGTTTCCCCCCCCCCTTTTGGTTTTTTCCCCCCTCCTTTGGTTTTCTTCTTCCCCTTTGCTTCTCCTTCTCCTCTTCTTTTTTCTCTCTTCCCCCTCTCTCTCCCCCTCTCTCTCTCTCTCTTTTCTCGCTTTCCCTCCCCTCTCTCCTCTCTTCTCTGTCTCTCTTGTCTCGCTTGGGTTTTCTCCCCCACCGTCCCCTTGCTTGACAACCCCCAAGGAACCAACTCTCCCCCCCACCCCCTCCACTCTCTCCCCCTCGCACTCTCTCTGGCTCTCGCTCTCTCTCGCTCTCTCTCTCCTCTCCCCCGCTCCCCCTTCCCCCTTGCCCCCCCCTTCGCGCTCTCGCGATCCCCTCCCCCTCTTTTCCCCTTTTCTCTCCCCCTCTTCTCGGTTCCCTCGCCCCCTTTTATTCTCCTTCCCGGTTCCCCCCTTCCCCCCTTTTTTCTTCTCTTTTCCCCTGCCTTCCCCCTTTTCGGGGTCTCCCCTTCCTCCTCTCTGTCTCTTATTCCCCCACCGTCTTGGGCTCTGACAAACCCGTCTGTGGGCAGTCCCCCCTGGGGTGGGGGTGAGGAAAGGGGTGTTCCGGGGGGGGGAAGACGGGTCTTCTCTTCCCCTAGCCGTGTGTTTTGGGGTAAGTGATTAAAGCACAGATGTCATTAGGTCGTGCAGTATTCATAGTGGCAGGGGATGCAGGGTGAGGGGGGGGGTTTTGAGGGCTCCACAGGAGTCACTTTTTGGCCTTTTAAAAAAGGGATATTTGGCAAGGGAACCCCTTCTCCTCTCCTTCTCTCCCCCCCCCTCCTCTCTCCTCCCCCCCCTCTCGCCCTCTCTCCCCCCCTCTCGCTCAATTCAATTCAATTAAATTTCAATTCAATTTAAGGGCTTTTCGGGGCCATGGAAGCAACAGAAGATAGAACATGTGTTTCCCAACATTCCCTCCCCGCCCTTTTTTCATGTCTTCCCCTTGTGGTTCTTGGCCCCCCCGCCTTCCCCCCCTGTCGCCTCTCTCCCCTCGCCCCCGGGGTCTGGGCGTTGCCATCGGTTCCCCCCGGGGGTGTCTGGAATTCCCTCTCGTTTCTCCCCCCTTTTCCCCCTTCGTTTTCCTCCCCTCTCTCTTCGTCGCTCTCTCCCCTCCTCTCATCTCCTCGCTCCTCTCCCCTCTCTTCTCTCTCCTTCCCCTCCTCTCTCCTCCTCTCTCCCTCTCCGTCGCTCGCTCTCTCCCCCCCTCTCTCTGCTTCTCCCCCCCCCCCTCTCGGCGTCTCTCCCCCCTCTCTTGTCCTCCCCCCCCCCTCTGCTGCTCTCCGCTCTCGCTCTCCCTCCCCTCTGGTCGCCCCCCCCCCCTCTCTCTGTCTCACCCCTCTCTGTCCCCTCATCTCCTCTCTCTCCCCTCTCTGCTCTTCCACCCTGTCTCTCTCCCCTTCTCCTCACCCTACTAAAACACCCCCCCCTCGTCTCTCGTCAGGTGATGGCGTGCTGTGTGTGCGTCCAGTCTGTGTGTGTGGAGATGGTTCTAAAAGGCTCTTGTCCGGAGGACTGTGGAACACACTGCTGGCCCGCAGAGGCTCCCTGAACACACACACACACACTGACACACACACACACAACGCTGCCGTGCTGTGGGAACGGACCCCCAAACTGTGTCCCTGTCTCTCCTGAGAGAGTGTGTTGCCGTGGTAGCGTGTGGAGACACCCCCCAGCATGCCTAGCTCCACCATCAGACGTTCTGTGAAGAACATGGTGAATAACTACTCTGACGCAGAGAAGAAGGTCCGGGAGGCCACCTCCAACGACCCCTGGGGCCCTTCCTCCTCTCTGATGTCAGAGGTGGCCGACCTGACCTACAACGTGGTGGCGTTCAGTGAGATCATGAGCATGATCTGGAGACGCCTCAACGACCACGGAAAGAACTGGAGACACGTCTACAAGGCCCTGACGCTGCTGGACTACCTGATTAAGGTAACGCACCCTGACCCTAAACCAAGGAGTGCCTTGGGGGTGTTTCCTTTTAACACTTAGGATTGTGGCCAAACTGGAATCCGACACCCTTTTTTAAAAAGATTTTGTTAATGTGTTGTTATGTGTTTCAGACGGGGTCGGAGCGAGTGGCGCTGCAGTGCAAGGAGAACATCTTTGCCATCCAGACTCTGAAGGACTTCCAGTACGTAGACAGAGACGGAAAAGACCAGGGAATCAACGTCAGACAGAAGAGCAAACAACTGGTGGTACTGCTAAAAGACGAGGAGAGACTGGGAGGTGAGGAGGAGAGGAGGGAGGGAGGGAGGTGGTACTGCTGAAAGATATGGAGAGACTGGGAGGTGAGGAGGAGGGAGGTGGTACTGCTGAAAGATAAGGAGAGACTGGGAGGAGAGGAGGGAGAGAGGTGGTACTGCTGAAAGATAAGGAGAGACTGGGAGGTGAGGAGGAGAGGAGGGAGGAGAGGAGGAGGGAGGGAGGTGGTACTGCTGAAAGATAAGGAGAGACTGGGAGGTGAGGAGGAGAGGAGAGGAGGGAGGTGGTACTGCTGAAAGATAAGGAGAGACTGGGAGGTGGAGAGGAGGAGGAGGAAGAGGAGGGAGGTGGTACTGCTGAAAGATAAGGAGAGACTGGGAGGTGAGGAGGAGAGGAGAGGAGGGAGGTGGTGGTACTGCTGAAAGATAAGGAGAGACTGGGAGGTGGAGAGGAGGGGGAGGGAGGGAGGTGGTACTGCTGAAAGATAAGGAGAGACTGGGAGGTGAGGAGGAGAGGAGGAGGGAGGGAGGTGGTACTGCTGAAAGATAAGGAGAGACTGGGAGGTGAGGAGGAGGGGGGAGGGAGGTGGTACTGCTGAAAGATAAGGAGAGGCCTTGCTGCTATTCCAGTTTCAACTGTTCTGCCTGCGGCTACGAAACCCCTACCTGTCCCAGACCTGCTGTTTTCAACTCTTAATGATCGGCTATGAAAAGCCAACTGAGAGACCTGAGCCCTAGGACCATACGCCGGGACTACCGGCCGTGGTGACTCCTTGCTGTCCCCAGTCCGCCTGGCCTTGCTGCTATTCCAGTTTCAACTGTTCTGCCTGCGGTTATGGAACCCCTACCTGTCCCAGACCTGCTGTTTTCAACTCTTAATGATCGGCTATGAAAAGCCAACTGAGATTTATTCCTGATTATTATTTGACCATGCTTGTCACTTATGAACATTTTTGAACATCTTGGCATGGTTCTGTTATAATCTCCACCCGGCACAGCCAGAAGAGGACTGGCCACCCCTCATAGCCTGGTTCCTCTCTAGGTTTCTTCCTAGGTTTTGCCTTTCTAGGGAGTTTTTCCTAGCCACCGTGCTTCTACACCTGCATTACTAGCTGTTTGGGGTTTTAGGCTGGGTTTCTGTACAGCACTTCGAGATATTAGCTGATGTAAGAAGGGCTATATAAAATTGATTGATTGATTGATTGAGAGACTGGGAGGTGAGGAGGAGAGGAGGGAGGGAGGGAGGTGGTACTGCTGAAAGATAAGGAGAGACTGAAAGGTGAAAGCCTACAGCCCAGTACATCACTGGGGCCGTCTATCATGTACCACTAGGTCTGTCTATAGTAATGTACCGTCTATCATGTACCACTAGGTCTGTCCAGGTGAGGTTACTGATGATGATATTTTGATGCTGTCCAGGTGAGCGTTCCCAGGCTCTGAAGACTAAGGAGAGGATGGCCCAGGTAACCACTACAGGTGCGGTGGCACCAGGTCAGGGTTTTGGGCGAGGTTCGTCTCAGCCCAACCTGTCTACCTCCTACAGCGAGGAGTACGGCAAGTCGGAGGGGTCACCTGCATCCTACCACGGCTGTGAGTAGCACTCATTTTATATTACGCACAAACACACGCTTAGACACACACACACACACACACAGACACACACTTAGACACACAAGAGTTTAAGATTGTGTCCCAGTTTTGATTTTCTTGTTCCTTAAACTAGGGTGTCCAATCAAAACTCATATTTATACCAGTGGGAAAATTGTATAGATAATCCTCTACGAAAACCAACGGTCCAAACCTCATGTCTCTATCATAATACGTTCAAAAGTTAGAATGGCCAGAATGAAGGTGACTAAATCAATGGAGTCAAAAATCAGGAAACTAGCGTGGCGTCAGCTAGCTGGATGCTGTGAGAGAATGAAGGCTACCTGACAGGAAACTAGCGTGGCGTCAGCTAGCTGGATGCTGTGAGAGAATGAAGGCTACCTGACAGGAAACTAGCATGGCGTCAGCTAGCTGGATGCTGTGAGAGAATGAAGGCTACCTGACAGGAAACTAGCATGGTGTCAGCTAGCTGGATGCTGTGAGAGAATGAAGGCTACCTGACAGGAAACTAGCGTGGCGTCAGCTAGCTGGATGCTGTGAGAGAATGAAGGCTACCTGACAGGAAACTAGCGTGGCGTCAGCTAGCTGGATGCTGTGAGAGAATGAAGGCTACCTGACAGGAAACTAGCGTGGCGTCAGCTAGCTGGATGCTGTGAGAGAATGAAGGCTACCTGACAGGAAACTAGCATGGTGTCAGCTAGCTGGATGCTGTGAGAGAATGAAGGCTACCTGACAGTAAACTAGCATGGTGTCAGCTAGCTGGATGCTGTGAGAGAATGAAGGCTACCTGATAGGAAACTAGCGTGGCGTCAGCTAGCTGGATGCTGTGAGAGAATGAAGGCTACCTGACAGGAAACTAGCGTGGCGTCAGCTAGCTGGATGCTGTGAGAGAATGAAGGCTACCTGACAGGAAACTAGCGTGGCGTCAGCTAGCTGGATGCTGTGAGAGAATGAAGGCTACCTGACAGGAAACTAGCGTGACGTCAGCTAGCTGGATGCTGTGAGAGAATGAAGGCTACCTGACAGGAAACTAGCGTGGCGTCAGCTAGCTGGATGCTGTGAGAGAATGAAGGCTACCTGACAGGAAACTAGCGTGGTGTCAGCTAGCTGGATGCTGTGAGAGAATGAAGGCTACCTGACACCCTACTAAAACTGGACAGAAGGGGGGAGACACCCTACTAAAACTCTGGGCAGAGGGGGGGGGGGGGGGGGGGGGGGGTTGGGGGGGGGAGACACCCTACTAAAAACTCTGGGCAGAGGGGGGGAGACACCCTACTAAAACTCTGGGCAGAGGGGGGGAGACACCCTACTAAAACTGGGCAGAGGGAGGGAGACACCCTACTAAAACTGGGCAGAGGGGGGGGGGGGGAGACACCCTACTAAAACTGGACAGAGGGGGGGGGCACCCTACTAAAACTCTGGGCAGAGGGGGGGGGGAGACACCATACTAAAACTGGGCAGAGGGGGGGGGGGGGAGACACCCTACTAAAACTCTGGGCAGAGGGAGGGAGACACCCTACTAAAACTGGGCAGAGGGAGGGAGACACCCTACTAAAACTGGGCAGAGGGGGGGGGACACCCTACTAAAACTCTGGGCAGAGGGAGGGAGACACCCTACTAAAACTGGGCAGAGGGAGGGAGACACCCTACTAAAACTGGGCAGAGGGGGGGGGACACCCTACTAAAACTGGGCAGAGGGGGGGGGGGACACCCTACTAAAACTCTGGGCAGAGGGGGGGGGGGGAGACACCCTACTAAAACCATGTAGCCCCTCCACCTCATACAGCCCCCCTGGCTCCGAGCTGCAGGCTTGCAGTAGGGCCACATTCCCCTGGAACACACAGACATCAGAGGAGGAAGTAGAATCACCTCCTTCACATGACTGGAATCTGTTCCCCTTCTCTCCGGGGAGCTCCGTGCTCACCCCTCCTTCACATGACTGGAATCTGTTCCCCTTCTCTCCGGGGAGCCCCGTGCTCACCCCTCCTTCACATGACTGGAATCTGTTCCCCTTCTCTCCGGGGAGCTCCGTGCTCACCCCTCCTTCACATGACTGGAATCTGTTCCCCTTCTCCGGGGAGCTCCGTGCTCACCCCTCCTTCACATGACTGGAATCTGTTCCCCTTCTCTCCGGGGAGCTCCGTGCTCACCCCTCCTTCACATGACTGGAATCTGTTCCCCTTCTCTCCGGGGAGCTCCGTGCTCACCTCTCCTTCACATGACTGGAATCTGTTCCCCTTCTCTCCGGGGAGCTCCGTGCTCACCCCTCCTTCACATGACTGGAATCTGTTCCTCTTCTCCGGGGAGCTCCGTGCTCACCCCTCCTTCACATGACTGGAATCTGTTCCTCTTCTCCGGGGAGCTCCATGCTCACCCCTCCTTCACATGACTGGAATCTGTTCCCTTTCTCTCCGGGGAGCTCCGTGCTCACCCCTCCTTCACATGGCTGGAATCTGTTCCTCTTCTCCGGGGAGCTCCGTGCTCACCCCTCCTTCACATGACTGGAATCTGTTCCCCTTCTCTCCGGGGAGCTCCGTGCTCACCCCTCCTTCACATGACTGGAATCTGTTCCTCTTCTCCGGGGAGCTCTGTGCTCACCCCTCCTTCACATGACTGGAATCTGTTCCTCTTCTCCGGGGAGCTCCGTGCTCACCCCTCCTTCACATGACTGGAATCTGTTCCCCTTCTCTCCGGGGATCTCCGTGCTCACCCCTCCTTCACATGACTGGAATCTGTTCCCCTTCTCCGGGGAGCTCCGTGCTCACCCCTCCTTCACATGACTGGAATCTGTTCCCCTTCTCTCCGGGGAGCTCCGTGCTCACCCCTCCTTCACATGACTGGAATCTGTTCCCCTTCTCTCCGGGGAGCTCCGTGCTCACCTCTCCTTCACATGACTGGAATCTGTTCCCCCTTCTCTCCGGGGAGCTCCGTGCTCACCCCTCCTTCACATGACTGGAATCTGTTCCTCTTCTCCGGGGAGCTCCGTGCTCACCCCTCCTTCACATGACTGGAATCTGTTCCTCTTCTCCGGGGAGCTCCATGCTCACCCCTCCTTCACATGACTGGAATCTGTTCCCCTTCTCTCCGGGGAGCTCCGTGCTCACCCCTCCTTCACATGGCTGGAATCTGTTCCTCTTCTCCGGGGAGCTCCGTGCTCACCCCTCCTTCACATGACTGGAATCTGTACCTCTTCTCCGGGGAGCTCCGTGCTCACCCCTCCTTCACATGACTGGAAACTGTTCCTCTTCTCTCCGGGGAGCTCCGTGCTCACCCCTCCTTCACATGACTGGAAACTGTTCCCCTTCTCTCCGGGGAGCTCCGTGCTCACCTCTCCTTCACATGACTGGAATCTGTTCCCCTTCTCTCCGGGGAGCTCCGTGCTCACCCCTCCTTCACATGACTGGAATCTGTTCCCCTTCTCTCCGGGGAGCTCCGTGCTCACCCCTCCTTCACATGACTGGAATCTGTTCCCCTTCTCTCCGGGGAGCTCCGTGCTCACCCCTCCTTCACATGACTGGAATCTGTTCCTCTTCCCCCGGGGAGCTCTGTGCTCACCCCTCCTTCACATGACTGGAATCTGTTCCTCTTCTCCGGGGAGCTCCATGCTCACCCCTCCTTCACATGACTGGAATCTGTTCCCCTTCTCTCCGGGGAGCTCCGTGCTCACCCCTCCTTCACATGACTGGAATCTGTTCCCCTTCTCCGGGGAGCTCCGTGCTCACCCCTCCTTCACATGACTGGAATCTGTTCCCCTTCTCTCCGGGGAGCTCCGTGCTCACCCCTCCTTCACATGACTGGAATCTGTTCCTCTTCTCCGGGGAGCTCCGTGCTCACCCCTCCTTCACATGACTGGAATCTGTTCCCCTTCTCTCCGGGGAGCTCCGTGCTCACCCCTCCTTCACATGACTGGAATCTGTTCCCCTTCTCTCCGGGGAGCTCCGTGCTCACCCCTCCTTCACATGGCTGGAATCTGTTCCTCTTCTCCGGGGAGCTCCGTGCTCACCCCTCCTTCACATGACTGGAATCTGTACCTCTTCTCCAGGGAGCTCCGTGCTCACCCCTCCTTCACATGACTGGAAACTGTTCCTCTTCTCTCCGGGGAGCTCCGTGCTCACCCCTCCTTCACATGACTGGAATCTGTTCCCCTTCTCTCCGGGGAGCTCCGTGCTCACCCCTCCTTCACATGGCTGGAATCTGTTCCTCTTCTCCGGGGAGCTCCGTGCTCACCCCTCCTTCACATGACTGGAATCTGTACCTCTTCTCCAGGGAGCTCCGTGCTCACCCCTCCTTCACATGACTGGAAACTGTTCCTCTTCTCTCCGGGGAGCTCCGTGCTCACCCCTCCTTCACATGACTGGAAACTGTTCCCCTTCTCTCCGGGGAGCTCCGTGCTCACCTCTCCTTCACATGACTGGAATCTGTTCCCCTTCTCTCCGGGGAGCTCCGTGCTCACCCCTCCTTCACATGACTGGAATATGTTCCCCTTCTCTCTGGGGAGCTCCGTGCTCACCTCTCCTTCACATGACTGGAATCTGTTCCTCTTCTCTCCGGGGAGCTCTGTGCTCACCCCTACTTCACATGACTGGAATCTGTTCCTCTTCTCCGGGGAGCTCCGTGCTCACCCCTCCTTCACATGACTGGAATCTGTCCCTCTTCTCCGGGGAGCTCCGTGCTCACCCCTCCTTCACATGGCTGGAATCTGTTCCTCTTCTCTCCGGGGAGCTCCGTGCTCACCCCTCCTTCACATGACTGGAATCTGTTCCCCTTCTCTCCGGGGAGCTCCGTGCTCACCCCTCCTTCACATGACTGGAATCTGTTCCCCTTCTCTCCGGGGAGCTCCGTGCTCACCCCTCCTTCACATGACTGGAATCTGTTTCCCTTCTCTCCGGGGAGCTCCGTGCTCACCCCTCCTTCACATGCCTGGAATCTGTTCCCCTTCTCTCCGGAGAGCTCCGTGCTCACCCCTCCTTCACAGGGAGAGAGAATAAAC